TTTGGAAAATTTTGATGATGGTACCCCTTATCAAAAATGCAGAATTTAGGCAAAAATTGATTTCTCCAAAATCGAGTTCGAGTGATAGGGGTGGTAAGTTTTGCTGCATTGCATATTACAAATTTTAAGAGGACAAAGTTCGTTAATTTACATTCAGAATTGATTTTTATTGCATCCTTCCGCTCGTCGCATTCATAATAAATATATATATATATAATTTAGTTATTTGCAAATATATATATAAATGTAGCATAATGTGATTTTTGCTGGAGTGAGGGTGAGGAGATGGAGGAGGAGTTAGAGGAGGTTGAGGGCCGAGGACAGGGGGACGAGGACGAGGGACTTGTGACAGGAGGAGGTCATAGAGATCAGTGGTCAGGGGGCAGGAGGATTTATGTACACACTTCTCGTGCTCTCTCCCGCACTCGTTCTCCCTCTCTCCCACTCGCTCGCTCGACTCCGCCGAATTGTACATTAAATAAATAGTGAGATTTTTCTTTTTGATCATTAAATGGGAGGAGATTCGCTTTGATTTCGTCGAGTGTGTTACAAAATAATATTGCCTGGGGTAAAATATGCTAAACGCTATTTGCTATTTGCTAATCTGTAATCCAATATCCATCGTTCAAATATCAGCTATCCTAGAAAATATCTATCCATTTTCGTTTTCCATTCCGATGAGTGAATTAATATCTAAGGAATGAAAGATCCTTTTTTTCCACGGGAGTGTACTGGGTCTTGGATTTTCTGGGGGCTTTTAGATCTTTATAAATATGTCCGGGAGTCGTCCGACTGAGACCAAACGCTCGCCCACATATCCGGTACCAACTCCTCGTCGTCGTCATCATCCTCTTCCTCGTCGTCTGATTCATGTTGGGCTTTCCATTCGTCATTCGGTCCATTCCAAGTGTCTGGCTAAAATGTTTGGGCATTGCGACAGACGCCGCATCCCAGGGCGAATTCCTCACCGGTGGGCGGATGCATTACGTGCAGCGGGCACTCGTCGCCCAGCAGCTGTTTGGCCTTCGGTCCGGCCGGGCACTGCGGCAACTTGACCTTCGGTATATTGGTTAGTCGCTGGAAATCGTCATGGCAGGTATCGCAGAAGTGCGTTGTTCCAAAGCAAAAGAACACCGCCACCGAACAGCAGTAGCGGCATTTGTACTCCAGAAAGTCAGTTCCATGCTTTGGACACATCTGTGCTCTGGCCACATCCGAACATCCGCCGCAGACCAGCTCCTCTGGATCGAACTTTTCGCCAATCTCCGCATCACAACGTGCCTCACCGCCGTAGTATGCCTTCTGGCACTTGAAGCAGACGTAGTAGGCATACCGATCCATCGCCAGCTGGGTCATATTGACATCCTTGCTATCCGTGTCCTTCACCACGCCCTCGTACTTGATTCTGAAAATGGAAAAATGAAATTAAAAATCATAATCTGATATATTTAAAGAATTCCTTACCGCATGAGAGCCTTGCGCTTGACGTCCTGTTTCAGTCCGTTGATAGGCTCCAGGATGTCTGCCAACAAGGGATGCTGGATGTCCGCCTTGCAGATGGGGCAAAGAGAGAAGCCAAAGGTGATGCGTGGTCCGCTCCAGCGCTTCTCCAGTACTGCCTTGCAGCAATGATAGTGAAACACATGACCGCACTCCAGCTGGAAACAAAAACAAATTAGACGAAGTTCTTCAGTGTCAGACTACTGCTCTTACATGTATCGAAGGAGCACAAGACACTGCCTCCACAAAACAGATCATGCACATGTCGTCCGCATCCTGAGTAAGCTTGGGATCCCTCAGTTCTTCTGCCAGTTCGTTTTCGCGCGCATGGCACACGTGCTGCAGGCAGGGCAGGCACTTTCTCTCGCCCGTCACTCCTCCACACGCATGGCCACATGGCTTGGTCTTTAGACAAGAGTTGGCGGCGTACTCCTGGCATTGGGCATCTGCACACACATTGCCGATCTCCAACAGACCAGAGTTGCCGGTTAGGCCACAGAACCGACATCTGCCCACCGCCTCCTGGGGACCCGAAATGATCGTGTGGCTGCCGTCGCGAAACTCCACCATTGCTTTTAGGGTCTTGGAATCGGCCAAGGCCAGCAGCCAAAAGAGCTTGGTTCGGCCACAAGATTCATGCAGCTCCACACGAATGGCCTCCTCCTCCTCTTTGCAAACCTATAACAGGAAATGGTTTTACTGTATAAGAAAATCCAGAAAATATATAGAAAATTCTGGTAACTCACCGTTCGTTTGTGGGAGCGTGTCTTCCGATTCAGATGCAGGAAACGATCGCAGTCGCCGCAGAGAGATCCACAGGTCTCGCACTGGATGATGGCTGCCGTTTCACCATCGTCATGGTTGCTGCACAATGGACGCGTATCGCATAGCTTGGACCATTGTCCGGATGACAGTTTCTCTACGTGGTCACGCTCTAGGACACACAGACTGGCCAATGCCAGCCACAATGTTGAGGTCTTGGTGCAGTGCTCTGGCGAGCGGTAAATCTCCTCCAGCCGGGTAAGATTCAACACAGATTCAGCTATAGCTGCCTTGGTGATCTGTGACCACTTCTCGCTGAGCTTACCCTGTAAAGAAGGCAAGGAAAAGATAAGTAAACTTAAAAGCTTTTTCAGTGAAGATTCACTTACGCTGGCCAAGTCTCTAATGAGACCGATAATGCTCTCCGCCTGTTTGGTGGAGATGACTCCGTTTAAGAACCACCGCTGGTTAAGATTTCGTTTTGATTCCTTCCTTGGTGGCACGACCTCAAACTGGAAGGGATCAGGTCCTCCAGGCTCACCGGTGGGCGGTCTTGATCTCAGCTGCTGCACAGAAAGATCCAGCGAACTGCAGAGTCTCACAAAGGCCGGGGTCTTTTCCTGCTGGCCCGCCTTGAGGGCAGCTCCAGCACTCGATGAGCCTCCAGATCCAGATCCTCCGGCAGAAGCTGCTGTTGTTTTTACCTTCACCTGCAACTGCAGGGACTTGGCAATTACGGCCAGGAATATATCCAGCAGCCCCAGGCGACTCATATCAAAATCACTGGCTGACTGATGGGCGATACTATAATCAGCTGGTGGTAATCTCTGTACTCCCAGTAACTCAGCGAAGCTCTCGGGTGATATTTCTGGAAGGATACGGCGTAACAAAGCCGTAACCTGTCGCTGCACTCGATCACTGCCGGTGTGCAGAAGTCCCAAGAGATCCCTTAGCAAGCCATGTTGCTGGGAGAGATACGAGCGACCAACCACACTGCCCGACAGAGCCAAGACCATGCTGAGCATCTCGAAGCAATAGGTATCCGGAGCTCGACTTCTTTCCGGTGAACTTTCACTACTGGCTGAAGCGGGGGCTGGCACGGATTGCACAGATTGGGGTGGCTGCTTTAGGACATGTGCCAGATTGACCAGCTCCCAATCCTCCTTAGCCCGCTGCGCCTCCTTGCGAATGGCATGGACAATGTGTACGATGACCTGCTTCTGCAGATGGGACAGTTTACTACGCGAGAACAGAATTCCCACCATGTGCTCCCTAAGATCCAGAGAATCGGCTAACAAGGAAGTACTGGCTGCTCCACTGCTTGGTGGCCCTATGCCCGCCGAATCTGGTGGCACTAAATCCGAACCCACATTGCTTATCAGTTTGCCAAACACCTGACCGGTGATCAAGCGGAAAACTCTCAAAGTTTCCGCCTCACAAATCTGCTGCTGGATGCGAGAGGCATGACTCAAACGCAGATGTTGCTGGTGCTTGTGATCCGAGGGATCCTCCAGACCATGTGATCCTCCCGTTGGCAAGCCAAGTAACTTGATTTGGCGTACACGCAATGTATTCTCCGGTCCATGAAGCTCCAAACGGAAATGCGTGCAGCTATCATCGCAAATCTTCGCAGAAATCCAAGAGCAGGCCTTTGGATCCACATCCGCCGACTTGATTACATTGGTATCGCCCAGCGATTGGCCGGCATAGAAAACCACGTTGAGGACCTTGTTCTAAAAGAGAAGGAATCACAATTATTATAACATCCAAATCATGAGATCTTCAACCTTAGTAGACTAACCTGAATATCTCGACTATTGTCGATGTGGACGAGCAGATAGCGACAGGCGTAGTTAAGCTTGGTCAGTGACAGCTCGATGATCTTGCACTTATTGCGATCCTCCTCGTCGCTTTCCCAGAAGGTCTCCGTTGAGTTATCGGTCAGGGATTCCGCCATGGCTGGACGCGAGGAAACTGTTACCTCAAACATTCCAGCCAGGTCTGTATAGCAAAGGAGCCGAGCTCCTGCTCCTGATCCTCCCGTTGCTACCGGATGTACCTGATTGTGCTCTGCATCGCAGTCGGGCTTGAGGAGCGTTGAAACGGCCATGGCATCGTTCTGTTCATCCGACTTGGACAGTATCTTCGAGATGTTACCAAATACATGTGAACTGTGGAGGAACTGGTGATCTGCCTGACGGAAACGGATACCAAAGCACTGAATGGCTACCCGTTGCAAGGGTGATCCGAGGGGCAAGTGGAGAGTAAGATCTGCCACTGATTGCAGGAGCACGTGTAAGGATTGCGTGATTAGATGGGCGAATCTGCCGCTGATTTGGGTGTAGGCCACCGGATGTTCCAGTGCCGGCTCGGCGGCTTCCTCGCCCCTGCCCTCTGGCTGATGACCTCCAGTGGCAGTCAGTGAGCTGACAAACCACCACATCAGATCGTGCAGGCACACACCCTGGGTGACACTTCTCAGGAGCCAGTTAAGAGCTTGCAGGGCATATATTCTACAGGCAGCTATCCGCAAGCTTCTTCGCATGGCTGCCCTGAGTCTATCCAGTTCGTGTTTTTGAGTAATGAATGCCATGGCAGGACGGGTGAGCAATAGATTGCCACCACCATTTTGTCCAGCCGACTGATCCAAGCCCAACGTGCCAGATGAATGATCTTTGCTGGTTCCTTCGCTGGCAACGGTCTGCATAACGGACACACTGGCCAACAGCTTGTGCGGCACCAGGCGACGCAGATGATCCGATGGATAGCAAATTAGTAGGGATCCATCGCCTTCGCTAGTGGAATTGTTTCTCCGCCTGTAGACGACCTTCGGTTGACCCTCCACGGGAGGCTGCTGATGTTGCTGGAGCTGCAGGTGCATCTGTTGCTGCTGGTTGTGTTGCTGTTGCTGATGGTGCTGCTGTGGCGGGTGGTTATGTTGGGCCAGTGACGCCCAGCCTTGGCCCATTGAATAGCTGCGATGGAACTTGGATAGATTACCACCGCCCGCTGAGCCTGGACCTCCGCCAGCGACTGTAGATCCAGGCGCCAAAGAGCCTGAAAGCAGCTCATAGTTATTCGGTTCGCAGGACTCATAGGAGATCTCCGAAAGCGGCTGTGGGAAATGGAAAGTAAATGTTTAATAATGATGAGGAGTTCCAGATAGCCAAGTACTCACCCTATCGTAGCCATTATCATTAGAGTTGGGACCCAGTCCAAACATTTCGTAAGGTAGATCCTCGTGTCCAGCCGTGCCAAGGCACTCTAGGCAAGCGAAGCTTTCTGGAGCCAACCAAACGTTCTCCGGCGCTGTTGGTGGTCCACCGACGAAGCTCTTGCGGAACGCTCCGCTACCGACTCCTGGACAGAATTTGGAACCGCTTAATCGAGCCATCCGACTGCATCGACTGGTGCTTGGCTTGAGATCAGAGTTGCCCAGCTGGTGCTCGATAACCACGGGCATGGCCACGACAGACATCTGCTGTGGTGATCGCTTGGCATTGGTATTGCTGGAGGTCAGGTTGCCAGCTGCCCCAGATGCAGAACTTGAGCTGGAACAGAGCTCCAGCAGGAATGTGGCGTTCTCCCGCATCGTGGTATACACCTCAGCATTGGCTATCAGGGTGGTGGACTTTACTCCAAACAGATTCAGCTCGTTGCCTGCAGGATTAGTATTCAGGATTAGGACTTATTCTACCAAGTCGGACTCTACAAAAACTCACCTTCCGTGGTACTGGACTCCAACTGGCGGGCAGCACTGTTGATGTTGTTGGCGCTGCGACAGGAGGCGAGATACCGATCCCGGCAGGGATCGCACATTAGGAACCACGAAGAGGCTCCCTTGCCACCCTCACCGCAGTTACCAGCCCATCCTTCACAGAATATGCCCACGGAATTATAGCCCTTACCCTTGGCTGATTTCCCGCAGCCCGGATGGGCTATCCTCATGTGGTAGGTCACTGGCATGGGCAGGAATAGTTCGCAGATTTCGCACCAACTGCCATCATCCTTCTTCTTGCGCTTACATTTTCTGCCCAGATCCTTCTCGCCGCCGGATCCCTGCTCCGAGCATTTGCCATCCTTGCCCTCGTTATCAGTATCTCCGTTGAGATCCCGACTTCCGGGTGACAGCAATCGAGGTTCCCTTTGTTCCAAGGCATTCGACTGGACAATTTGAACGCAACCGGAACAGATCTGTTCCCACAGATAGACGAGACATCGAAGAGCTGGCGGCAAGACGCTTACCAATTCGGGCAGAGCCTGCAGCTTCTGAGCCGGATCCTCGCCGGGATTCATGACACCACCGCCGCTAAGCAAATTCTTGCGGTACTTGCTCCGATTATGCAGCGAACAGTTTCCACTCTTGGTGAGGGTTTCCAAAGTGCTGGGTCGGATGTTCAGGTAGTTACCAGCATTGGCCACCTCCACGGAGTGTCGCTGTTGGGCCTTCTGTTCCCTTGAAAGCTGCAGCCTGGGATCTCCGGCCTCGCCGCGTCGTGTGACCACTGTGGCGCCTTCCTTTGGTAAGCCCGGATGGAATTTAAGGAAACTGGCACAGGCCATGGCATCGTGGACTACGCCTTCGTGCCAAAGGAGGGCAGCAAAGACCGCCCGGATGCTCTCCGCAAACGATGGAGGCATGGCTCGCTTGATTGGACCCATGGTGTTCCTCTTGGATGCCGACGAGGCCGTGGAAGTGGTGGCCAGCTGCAGTTCACTCTGCTGCTCCCCCTGACCCGTTGTGGTGGTGGTGATCTGCAGAAGACTTAGGTCATCTTCCAAGCCAGTCGTTTCCGCAGGCATAACAGCACTCCGTTTAGGCGTATGCTTGGGTGTGGAAAGCAGCGCCGCCGTTTGACTGGCCGAGTAATTGGGTCTCCTCATGCTGGCCAAGCTGAATTCCGGCTCCTGTTCCTGCTGGTTTCTATTGCCGTTGCCACGCTGCGAGTCCTGACCGCCCATGGCCCGTACCAGTTCCCTTACCGACACTCCGGCTAGAGGAGGCGAATGAGAGGGGGTCAGTGGTTGGGCTCCCTCCACGGCATCGCCTTTGAACCACTTTTGCAGGGCCTGCAACTTGATGGCTCCACCGCCCACAACCCCAGCTATGGCTGAGCCTATGTGGGCTGGTAGTAGCTCAACGGCGGGCAGTGCCTCCTGTTCCGGTTCCCGATCATCGGCATCATCGTCCTGCGCCTGCTCCTCCTCCTTTTCACGTTCCTCCTGCACTTGGGCTTCTCGCTCCGCGAGATCAGCATGCTTGGAGGGATACAGAAAGGGATTCGTGGACTGGTGACCGGCCAAAAAGCGACCTGGCTTCGATTTGGCTGGACTGAGGACTGGACTTGGATCCGGTTCCGGTTCGGGACTTGCTTCGCCACTGCCCGTTGGACTGGCGGGTGGTGGCTCTTCCTCCTCTTCTTCGGCCGCCACTCCCTTTCGCACCGGGTTGACCTCTTTATCTGTGACCGGCTGGAGGAGCATCCTGGCCAGATGTTGGTTAAACTGCAGACACCACGCCTCCGTTGGATACCAGCCCATGGTGCAGTGCTGTCGTATGGACTCCGTGGACAGACGCAGCCAGACACCATCATCGTTTTCAATCTCGTCGATGAACGAGATCACTCCGCCCACCCGCACCACGCCCACCTGTTCCGACTGCAGCGTGGGATGGGATCGAATCCTCAATCCGGAACTATGACGTGCCTGGAAAGAGGTGAACCAATTACTATGTCATATCATTCTTATAAGTACGATGTACCCACCTGATACCGACGCAGTTTACTAGGTGCCTGTGGCCTTCGCTGGGCGCTGCTCCTCTGAGTTGGTGGCGGCAGAATTCCCTCTTTGACATCCACGCGATAGACCTCCTCCAGCGGAATACCATCGATGGTCACCGCCAGACAGTAGGCACCCACAGAACTGGGCGTCCATTGGACACTGAAGGTGCCATCCTCCATATCCTTGGCGTTAAGGAGTTCTGTGATCCGAGTTTGCACTGGACTGGCATATCGTAACTCCTCGAATGAATAGTTGGTGAAGGGCTTCATGAAAGTGATGGCCTTGAAGACCATTTTCTCCTTGGAGGTGGGCTCGTAGTTGAGACGCGGTGGTGGCGCCATTCCGCCCCATCCCCAGGTGTCGCCCGAGGCTCTACGCATCCACAGATTCGGACCTGGTGCAGATACTCCAGCAGCTGAGACTCCGGATGTTCCAACTCCGGTTACGCTTCCATTTGGACCTGATCCCGTGGGTATCGCCTTGATCTCCACCTTGAGCTCTGGCACCAGAACCGCATCACCGTACTGATCTCGTATGGTGACCGTCACTTGAGAGGGCCAACCATAACGCAGTGGCTCCGTAATCGTGTTCAGCTCACATCTGCAAGGGAAGATGGGGTATTAAAGAAAATAAAATAAATTTGACTTATAAACTTACTTATTGGGATCTAGTCGAGACTCGGGCTGTAACCAGGCAGCCAAACGGGCACCCGACGAACCTGGCGCTCCGCTGATAAAGTCCTTGAGAAACTGACGCTCATTCGATTGGGAACTAAAACGAGGAACAGAAAAGGTTTAAGATTAGGAATATAACTTTTTCTACTTTTCTTTAAAAGATAAGATATATTTTATTCTATATTCTCGGTAAATGATAAGCTAAAATTCGTTTTTAAGCCTTCCCTTTGGGAAAATGGATGTGATTTCCAGAATCCAATTGGATTTTATGACATATTAGCTAAAATCGCATCTTTCATTTCCATTCAACGACATTCTAATGATAATTCTAAGTAAACACCAAAAAGGTACCACAAATCCTTAAAAAGTAAGCAAACATTTTCTTACTGATAATGCTGTGAAAATATTTTTATACCCAGTCAGAATTTCTTTTTACCAATTTCTCCCTAAATTCGGGGGTCAATGCTTAAGGTCACGATAGCGATCAGGTAGAATTGCTACGCACTTAAATCCATTTCCAATCCAATCAGAGGCACAGCATCAAAGATGGACCGCTTAGATGACCTGCGGTTCGCAGGCGGAAGGAGAGTGGCACGTAGGGAGAAGGGCGAAGGCAAACCAGGCTGAAAGTGGCGGGGGAGGTAGGCAGACTGAAAAGGGTCGAAGGGCACGTAATGGCACAGCGGGCGGTGCACGTGTGTGTGCGTGAATGAAAGGACAGGCACGCACATGCCCAGCGACGTGTGAGAAAATTAAAGAACGTCAGAGTAGCGTTACGTTACGAAATAATCACTTAATTTTGGAGATGTAATAGGTGGTAAGTTTTTATTTAGTTGCTTAGGAATTACTATACGGTAACGCTCATTGCCTCTAGGTGCAAGTATATTTCATAATCTTATCTTTAATCATATATAATGCATTTAAAGGAAGTAGCTTCTGTTGTTTTTTTTATGCTTTAAGCAATATTTTTTAAATAAAGAAACAAATATTTAATAAGCCAACATATTTGCCACTTTACAACTCTGTAATTCTAGATTCCAAATTTTGTTAGAACCCGTTTTAGTGAAAAGTAAAAGTAGAATGTGATTAGAATACATACTTAATATAGAATCACTATCAATGGGGCTAACCAAATGTTTGGCGATGGGCAACAGGTGATTTAACTCGTGACAATCTTTCCGCTTTAGGAAATTGGGGATGTAACGGTCTCAGTTTGGGTACTTTTTTTTAGGGAAATTGGAAATGGAGTGGGTTGGTAGGGGAATCAAACCGAAACACACACAAAGCTGCGTACACACATATTTTATTTACATAAAAAGCAAATAAAACAATACCGAAAACAATAAATACAAACGAAATGGAAAATGGGAATGTATGGTAACGAAAAAGGGGGATGGCGGAAAGTGGAGTTTTCAGTTTTTCCAACGAAAATGATAATGTCAGGGACGGAGTGCCCCCCAGTTCTGGTACTCCACCTCATGGTGGCGACCCTGCACTTCACGGCGAATATAAAAACAAAACAAAACCGATAATGGGAATGGGGGAGAGAGAGAGAGAAACAAAGAGGGAAATAACTATAACAACAAAGGGCACCAGCCAATTGTGGCCACATGTGTGTGTGCTTGAATGTGTGGCTGCGTGAGTGTGCGTCAGCTACCTGTGGGAAACACGTTTCCACTGCAATTTAACCCCGTTACCCCCCTGAATACGCCCTCCCCACCGCTCCATCATTCCAATTCCTGTCTACACTGAAACTCTAATTTAAAAGATATTTTGCTAGATTTTTAGCAGAATAACTGTAAAACCTATCACCATGAACTTATAATTCCCAAGTGCTTATTCATCTTTGGCAAACTAACTACGTTCTTCTCAGTTTTCTTACCAAAATAAAAGATTAACACATTTTGTTGAGTGTAGAATGGCAAACAAATGGAAATGGAGCGCAGAGAAACAAGTTGCGGGATCCCCAACTGGAGTTGCATTCGTAGAAAGGGATAGAGAGGGTTCTTCTTTGAGTGTGGAAGTAAGCGAGAAGGGGACAACGGGCAGACGAGTGTGTGTGTGTGCTCCCTATTGCGGCAATGTAATCGTTCATTCATTCATTCAATTCAGTTTTTATCATGCCACAAAATGCGGAAGAGTTGTCTTGTCCGAAGGGGCAAAACAGCAACAAAATGAAATGGGGATAGAGATACATAGAGCGATAGAGGAAGACAGCTAGATAGATAGACAGAGACAAAGGCAAACCAAGTACGAACATGACTTTCATTATTTATTCTTATCGAAGAAAAACCGTAGCAGAAAATATATGTTACTAAAAAAGAAAAATGAAATGATATATATTTTTATAACAATCAGCTCTATAATGTAGAAAAATGAATCACAAATTCAAGCACAACTTTCAAAAGCACAAATTTCAAAATCTAAATACTCCCTAATAATATTTCATATACCTAATGACCGATAGTGATAAGGGTATTTAATTGATCTAAAGTAATGAGAACGAAAAGTTGGGCTTGAATTCACTTTAAAATCTCCGGGGATTGCTATGGCACACCCCCATTATAAAGGCCGTATGCCAATGACACCCATTTTTGTTTTCCAGAAATCGGGGATGTTTAGAAAAACGAAATTATCACGTAGAGATCGGAAACTCAGACAGAAATCACCGATCCAACGATGTAATAATTGAGCGGTTCGAAATCGGGGGAGAATCGGGAGAACCCGTATCTTCCGGAATTATCATCTGTTGGTCCCCCTCACTCCTGTCTCATATTCTCCCTGCAACTTCCGCTTTTCACTTTGCCATCAAATTGAACGCAAATTGATTTACTGCAATGCCCAAGAAATGCATTCATAATGGGGGAAATGCCTTTCTAATGGCTGCAATTAAATTTAACCGCTCACCAGTCATTATTTTATAATTCAGCTAAAAGTACGACAAATTTAAGTACACTTTTTTTTTCAAAATTAAACATATTGAAAACCTAAGGGAGAACTAAAATCTACCTTAGCTTACAGCAATATTTGTAATTATTAATAGTACAAACTAATTCTGATTGTGTTATACAGAAAACCGGAAGGAAAACATAACATCAATGGTGAACTTGATGTACTATAATTAATTATACGTACAATAAAGTTACATAGTTTAACTTCTAGAGCCTACGACGAAGTAAAGTCAAAATGATTATCTGCTGGCCGGAGGAGTAGTACAAACACGGAGTGACTGACAAAAGATAACAATAAAGGGCGACTTAAAGTGGATTTCATCTGGTTCTTGTTATTCTTTCTTCTCTGGCTTATAGTCTCCGGCTCGTCTTCTTCTTAGATGGTTATGTACACATACATATACACACATACATATATACCGTATCTATAGACAATGCATGAAATGAAATAAAAAGCAGTTCAGCTGATTTAATTTATCGAAAACCCCAGTCGAAGAGCTTCAGAGATCAGCTGTGAGGTATTTAAAAGAAAGAGAGGAGAGTGATTGAACGGGAGGAGATATTAGGGAGAGGCATACACTGGGAGAAACTATTCAATTTTTACTCGATCGAACTATCATAGCAGATCTTTAAGTCGCCGGTAATAAAATCAATAGTCACAGTGTAAATCGTATGCGACGAGGGGAACGCACTCTCTCACTCACTCTCTAGCACTATTTTACGCTCTTCTGCTCAGTGCTGCCACCTTAGTAATTTAGTTGATATTTCTAGCCAATTTTGTAATTTATTTTAATTTTCTGTAATTAATTAAGTTGTTGTTTTTAATAGTTATCTTAAATAAATGTTTGTTTAGGCAAATTTCAAATATTTTTTAACTTATATATTTATATGAGTTATTTTTGAACAGTCGAATCTGGCAGCACTGATGACGAGGAGGCACTATTTACGCTCTCTTGTTGTATTGTGGAATGTGGAATATGGAACGTGGAACTTGTTATGTGCGAACTGCGAGCTGCGAGCTGCTCACTTGTTCGACAGATCGTCAGAGTACGATCGACAGAGCAACAAGCAAGTTGGGCGTGCGGGCAGTATTATTTTATTAATTCTTTAGAATCAAGAAAGAAACACCGCGACTTTTGCCGTCTTTTTTTTCTACATTTTTTTTTTTGTATTGGTTTTGCTAGAATATTTCTGTGGATGACGAAGAGACGCATTAATATGCGTTTTAGTGCGGGGCCTTAAAGATCACTGATCGTCAAAACGTAAAAAAGAAAAGTGTGAAGTGAAACGAACGAACGGTTTCTTATTATAATGAAATATCATTGCCAAAATTAAAAAACGAAATTGTTAAGCAAAAATCATCCGCAACAACAAAAAAGTGAACAGACATACAAACCACCATGAATTTTGGATGGATTCAACTGGCCCTGATCAGTATCGGAATTTCGATATCGATCCATGATGCATCTTCTCAGCCGGAGCGCTACGATCGATTGCCTAGCTACTCCCAGATCAATGCTGGTGGTGGAGGAGGGCTGGACCCCGCCCACCGGGAGGACCTGTGCAGCCACTGTTTCTGCACCAATATCAGGGCCTTCTGCGACTATAAGCTGAATAAAACGGTAAGTTTTGATCACTCATGTTCGGTATCACTCATAACCACAGCCAGCCAGCCGCACACAAAAGCGGTTTTTAATATTTCTTAATTGGTCATCGATTTGGTATCACTTTATGGTACCACGACTTTTAAATACTCTAGTGTATTATTTATAATAAAGAAAAAAGCCTAAAAAAAAACTAAAGAAAACTTAGTTAAAAGTCTGTTTTCTTCTTAAAGAAGCTTTTCTTCGACCTGTTAACTGTAGTTTTGTCGTCTGAAAAAACACATGCATTGAAAGTGAAACAACAAAGAGATCTCACTAAAGCTTGTAAAACTGTTACTGTTGCCACTCCTAAATTGGTCAACCTTGCTTTTCTAATTAGCGAAAAGTTTGAAGGCCTGTGTCTGTTTTGTGTGTGACATTTTTTTTTTATCGAATTAAGATTTATGTACAGCAGTTAGTAAACTAAATTTAAACAGTGTCTAGTAGATTGCGTTTGCTGATAAAAAGTGTGCGAAAATGCTATCTCAATGATGGCTTTATTACTTTGGGACTTAAAGTGGCTCACTTGAGTAATATCAATTACCAATTAACACAAATTATAAATATACTTATGGGTCATCTTTATTTTTGTAATGTATTAAGTGGTAGCTTTTTTTGTAAAGTACAAAAAGAAGTGCTCACTGTACAGGGTGACTAAACACACACAAATTTTCCGCTAAATGCCGAAGTAAACTTAAATTTACAAAGAAAATCGGAAAAACAGAAGCTGGATAAGAGGAAGCAAGAGCTGATAAAGACAAAAAGACGAAAAGACAGACAGTGGCGGCGATAAGTGATAGTCCACAAATCAACACAGACTTTGGTTTCTGCTTTTTGTTTATTTAGTAAACGGCTAGCGCTGGAAAATGAAAATTTTTTGGTATTTCAGCTTGTGGAAATTATCAGCAATTAGTTATGATTGTTACCTCAATCATAAGTACTTGTGTTTTAGTATTTATCATTTTGAATTCCATGTAAAATGAGATAATGACTCAAGTTTTGAAAAATATTATTCATATTTAATTATGATTTTGTGTTGTTATTCTGTTAAGCTCATTTAAGTTGTTAATTTAGTTTAGTTACTATATATGTATAGTATTATAGCCTGAAAAAACACAATTTCCATTTCCGTTAATGGCTAGAATATACTTTTGCCTTCGATCTTGGAATTTTTGGGGTAAAATTATAGTTTTCCAGACTTGAGAAAAATTCGCTTTTCGAGTACATTTTGATTAATGGCACGTTCAATCGCAATGTAAACAAAAAGCCAGGGCTGCGTGCAAAATAAAATGAATGAAAAATAAAATTGAAAGAAGGCGGCGCCGTTGCCGCACCCTCTTCCTCTGTCCGCCCCCTATCTATATAAGGTTGTACCGCCCAGTGGCCCTCCTACCCCCCGACCAACCCGTTGGACAGGTTATGCTAATGAGTCAGGTGTGCGTGTGTGTGTGTATTTTGTTGCTACTCGCTGAGAGCTCTCTGAAGTAAAAAAAACCAAAAAAGAAAAAAATACAGAGGGTAGCAAGTGCAAGTGATTGCAGGCTGAATTTATAACCATTTAGCCAGAATCGGATTCTGATGGAATTAATTTCTAGATTTTATATAGAATCAGATGTCTAGATATCAATCTTTATGGTTTTGGTTAACCCTAAAAGGTATTTAGGCATAGAAATCTGTTGGAATTAGAATGGTTATCTTGGCTGTTTCTTACTTACATACATCAGTAATGGAAAATTATATTCATATTGAAAATATAGCTCATAAGGCATATGGAAAATGCAAGTGATTGCTATTTATAAAAGTAGTTCCACAGAGATAAGAAGCTTAACTGAATGCGAGTATAATCGTAGTTATATATATAACTTGTCACTTTCAATTACTGATAAAAACTTTAAAGTTTTACGATTATCAGATATATCAAGGTCATTTCGATTAAGTGTACTATAAAAATACTTAATTAAGCAGTTAACTCTGCTTTGCATAAAATTTAGAAACGTTTTCTTTGTTTATTTTCCCCGCAAAATGTTCAAAAAACCAAATCAGACTGCAATTCAAAGAACTTAAAGCCATTTCTAAACATAAATCAGTATGAAATAATCCAAATGTTCTTGAAATATATATCTTTAAGATATATATAATGATTCTCTGCCTTTTGATCAACTAAGATCTCTTTGAGTTATATAATATCCCTTTATAAGTTAATATATCTTCTATCGAAGTCACTTCCTCGGCAATTTTGAATGAACTTAGCTGCTTTTACCAGCGGATGTGGGTGACACTTTCACCCCAACCCCAACTGGCCCCTCCATTTTCCCCTCCCCAAGACTTATCTTGTCTTTGTGAGCGATTCGAGTGAGTGAGTGAGCGCGCCGCATGTGTCGTCATCTTGTAGATACAAAATACAGAATTTCATTTCATTTATCTGCTGTGTGGGCCTGCAGTTCAGTTTTCAGTTTCTTTTTTTCTATGTGCAAAGTGGACGGACTATCGAAAAACGAAAAACCGAAACCCAAAAACAAACTGAAAAGCGAGAACCGAGAGCTAAGAACTGAGAAAACGGAAAGCGAAATGAAATGAATAACGAATAAACGTGTGGAAATGCATTCCACCCACTTTTTCTAGGCATTCCCCTTCCCCAAAAACTCTACAGATTGACAGTAATAAGCCAAAAATGAACGCTTATATAGTGTCAGCAGCTGGAAAACACAGGGAAAAATGTGAGAGAACTAATCAATGCAAAAGTAGTTTAATTATATGGAAAGAAAACTGAAATGGAAATGCACTTAAAGAAAGTTTTGGTTGGTTTTTTTAGGAGGAAAACCTGGAAAGAGTTCAGTTTCGGTGCTTAATATGTCTGTTTTAAACTTTAAACTTTTCGATTCCCAATATTAAAACTTTTTCAGCTTTATATTATCTATAAAGTCATTTAGATTCTGATTAACCTAAAGTCAAAATACTTATACCCACTGAACCAAATATTAAACTTAACCAACTTTTTGTTAACCAAAAGTTACAACAAATTTACACTTTTTAACTACAAAATTTAAAGTTAATTTCCCTTTTTAACACATCTCTCTCCGATATGCAAAACAAACCAAAAAAAATTCTTGAAAATTTCTCCCTCTGCAAGGGGGAGGAGAAAAGGAAATAGACGTTGGGTCAGGGGCGGAGCGGTGGTTGACGTTTCGAGTGTTTCTGTTTTAGTGGAATGCGCCTACTTAAATTCCCATTTCGAATGGCTACTTAAACTACTTGGGACGAAATGTTATGGCTGTGAGCTGCTAAAAATCCATCAATTGCCACAAATTGAATGCCTCCTTCTAGAGAGGCAACAATAAAACAACAACAAAGTGGAAGAAGAAGAAGAAGAAGAAGAAACAGCAGAGACACGAAGAGTGTGAAAATGCAATGCGAGGTAGGCCACAAAAATAGGAAAAAACAAAACCAAGAAGACAGCGCCCCAGGGGAGGTGTCTGGTGGAATGCAAGAGCCGGCCGTGCATTCGTTATAATTTTGCCAATAATTTCGTTAATCAGTAAACAACTTTCGATTGTATATAAAACACACACACACACACACACTCTTAGCTAGAAAAACCACTTTGATATGGAAAATTGAAAGGGGGAAATATTTACAAGGCATATGCAATCGATGTGTACATAATATGTCTGCATATGACTCAAATTTGTGAACTATAAACTGAGAATGCGTAAAAGCCATAAAAACCATTTGGTTTATGGTTTCCTTGGAAACTAAGCATATATCAAATTCCTATACTGAAATATTAGTAACCTTATTTATGAAAATATTTCAAGTTGATTGATGATTTTATGGGTATTTTCTGGGATTTAGAATCAATATTCTCATAATTTTAATATAAATAATGAGTAGGAGTATGAAGTAGTAACTATTGTCTTTGAAAATCTCAGGCGATGGTTGGTTATATGAGTAATTTTTGCTTACAAATCAGTTTTTTATATAGTATAAGTTCTTAGGAATGTTACAAAAATGTTAAAACAACTAGAAAACTATATTAAATATAACTTAAATTTGTAAACCTTTCCCATTAAGACCCAAAAAAAAACTCTAGCAAGTAAAACCCTCAAGTCAGAAAATTCAAATCACAATCTTCCCTTAAAGAAAACTAAGTTTCCCTGCCAAGTAAAAAGGAAATAACTTTGTTTTTCTTTCCCTTTAACAAACGGAAAACACACATAGTGGCTAAAAAGAATAATATTTGGGTATAAATTCTGTATTTCTACCACATAAATCTAGGAAATTTGTATACGAAAAGATATATCAGTGCGAATATCGATCGAGTAAACAATTTCCGCAGTAAATTTTCATTGAAGTGAATTCTGCAAGTTTTCCGCACTCCAAAAAGGGCGGTTTATATATATATGTATATCAAGCAATACACAAATTGTAATAAACAAACATGCTTAGCAAGGAAAAGTCAATCATAATAGAGTAAAGAAAATGAAAGTGGAATTTCCACACCCTCAAACAAACATCGTTTATGTTAATAAAGTCATGACTTATCTGAGAGCATTTCTATTACGAATCGGTAAAGAAAATAAATTTCTACATATCAGCAGTCACGTAGACATACTCCAGATGATTGTCACTTTATTCTTATCTCGCAAATAATGCTCCATTTGCCACATGCATCATTCGCTGCAGGGTCCACATATGTGGCAAAAATTTGTATTGGGAAAGTCCATTACCAATTTTCCATGTGACCATATGAACAGATTGCCATTGGCTTGTTTGTTTCGTCTCCCGGTTTTTCAGTTTTTAGATAGATAGATATATATATATATATATATAAGAAGATACTCAGATACAGATACAGATACCGAAAGAGAGCCAGAGGTGGATCATAATTTATTTTTAATTGGCTTTGTTTGGTTATTTATGTTCTTTAGTCGGTTTTGGCACTTCCAGCCAGGCGACGGCAGCTATTTCCGCTTGTCTGCCACGCCTTCAGCCCTTCGCCCTTCCAACTCCAAATACTATATAGATTCCGTTCCAAATATATATATATATAATCGTATATATATCTAGAAGAAATATCACTTAAAGTTGTCGCCATCGGAAAATGTCCGGAAAATGTGAAAATCGTGAGCGGAATCTTTTGGAGAAAAGCGCCCAGCGATCTGTCAAAGAGTGAGAGGTTCTATATATAGAGTTGAGATATCAATATGTAGCTTATATCTGCACAGAGAGAAAAGTCTTTAAGGGGAAAATTTAAAACTTCTTAGGGGAGTTAAGGCTATGAAGTGGAAGTTCTTCCGTTTGGGAAACTCTTTGGGAAAAACTCTAACTATCTTGTTAATAAATAAAGGCTAGGTTTAAATTCTACTAATACTTTAAAAAATCTTAACCCTAGTGACTAATTTCATGAGTTTAAAAAATGTTTTTACATATTTTTTCTTATCTCGAAAGTACCCTAATTAGTTATGCCTGAAAAAACTCACAAATTTTATATTTTTCCTGTGGAATTTATGACTCATACGGCCTTATATTTTTTCAATCTGTATAAGCCATATAAAAATATATATATATATATAAATCTGTGACGATATATAGCCGCCATCTGACGAGATGGAAACTTCATAAACTTTTTCAGACGTTTTTGGCCACAGTTTTTTGTGTTTGTTTTTCCTTGTCGACTCTGATGGTTCCCATAAACTTGAAAACTGAATCTGAAGAGGCGGAATGGGTGGAAAAACATAGTGAAAACAGGGAGGGGATGGGGGGGTAGACGGAAAGAGGGTGGAAAACTGTCTGTCAGACAAACAAGCAAATTAAAACTCACACGTAATTGAGACTTCCTCTTTAAGAGGAGAAGAGAGCGAGAAACTGGAGCAATTGAAAGAAATTGCGCCCAAAGGCGTGTAACAAACAGACCGAGAAAAAAGCAAAAACGGGGGGCCAGCAGAAGGAGGCCAGAAATCTGGGCGAGAATGAGGGATATAGCTAATGCAGCTGCTGTGGGCTAAAGATCCAGATTCAGGTTCAGATCCAAAGACATTGAACCCAAGCAGCCAAACAACGAGGCCAGACGTATGAGCAGGTGGCCAGACTTTCAGATCGAGGCGTGCATTATAATTACACTGCCACTACTCTTCACCCCCTCTCTCCAGACCCTCACTTTGTATATATATACATATATATATATTTCTTCTGCCATTATGGCAAGTGCGAAGACGACAAATTTGCGTTAACGCCAACGAAAAAGTCGAAGTTTTAATGCACTTTTAGATTTTTTAAGCTAAAAATTTGATATTTCTATAAGGAAAAAGGTTGAAGAAAATAGTTAAGAAAATATATACTTTATTTTTGTGTAAAGGAAAACCAATTTAGTTTAATGACAGATATCCAAATTAACACATAAACGTGGCCTTTGTCTCTTATGATTCATCTAAAAAAAATCCAAATCTATATCTTAGCTGTTTTATTTTGGACTCTCAAACAGATTAGATAAAGAAAGTTATATTAAAACGGATTTCTATATAAAAAGGAAATGAGTAAAAAATGAGGAAACAGCAGATGTGGAGGTGTACTGCGTGTGTTGGCCAAAAGCACGTAGGCACTGACGCATCTAAACAAGGGCCATAATGGCGATTTACCATTAAAAAAACAAAATAAGATCCAAAATTTGCACTTCAATGTTTTTTTTAAAGCCCTTGAAGTTAACCATAGTAGTGATAAGTTACATAGGAAAAAACCCCAAAGAATGTCGAAACGTGAATATTACATAAATTGCAATTTTCAAAAGTTTTAACTACGCATTATAGTATGAAGTTACTAGCTTTATCTAGGTCTTCTATATTTTATTAATAATAAAATAAGGTTGTCTTTGTTCCTGTCATGAATTTCACCATCACTTTGATTAACAGCTCATTGACCATCTTGACTATATCCAAACTCTCCGCCGATAAGGAATATTGAAAATGGCCAGCAGTGTGAATCAAGTCAGTGTGAGTCAGTTGGAAATCAAACAGAATTGAAATTACAAAAAAAAAAAACCAACAGCCAGACATAATATGCGCCGTCCAAAAGCAAACAATCTTCTTACAAAAGGTCGAATCATCAATATTGCTGGATAATAATACTGAGGGTATTGCAAGTAATTCATTGCAATGCTAATGCTAAGATCACTTGAACTTACATCACCTAACCAAATCACTTTCATTATGATCTAAGAAGTAAGCTCTAAGCTCTTTTATCTCGAAAAAGAAATCTGTAAAAACCCTTGGGTTATCTTGAGTAATGATCTGCTTTCCCTTGCCACTTGAGGGTCACGGTAATCCAGATTCATTAACGCAACGAGGAAGAAGATCTTGGGCACTTCAACATGATCAACAACAAGATCATCATTATGATCATTAGCAGGCATATATATATATATGTTATATATATAGAGAGAGGGAAACATATGTCTTGGTGGTGGACATCATCTCGTCACCCATCGCCAGCACTTTGAGTTGCAACTATTTTCACTTAATTTAATGAGAAAATTGCACCCTCGGGTGATGGTTCGAGTTTGAGTTCGAGTTCCAGTTGGGGTTCTTCAATGGAGCAATGAACGTTGCGGTCAAGTTGCCGTTGTTGTCGCCGTTCATCTGATGTTTCTGATGTCGCTGTTGCTGCTGTTGCCGTTGCTGTGTGGCAGCAGCAGCTCCTCCTCCCTATTGTTGTTGTCGCAGACACTGCGTTTAAAAATAAAATCCAAGAGTGAGGGATACACAGACCGCAAGAAATGTAAGTCAAGCGTCACAGACCCCCGGCAACAGCAAACTCCAAAGGCAGCAAAGCACATTACAAAAAAAAAGTTAAATAAACAAAAAGAGATTGCAACTGCGGCAAGTGTCTGGCAACTCCCAGTTTCCCTGTCCCAATAACAGAAACAGAAAAACTGCTCAATGGCCTATGAATTTGTGAGTCATTTGTGCCAAAAGAAGTGCTAAATAACTTGTTGCAAGTACGATTTGCTCAGAGGCATGTTTCTACTTTACGTTGCATGTTCTTTAGAAGAGTCTTAGGGAATACAGCAGAGACTTTAATCTTCTTTCTCCCCCAAACTGAATCACAATAATCTTCTACCAATTCTTAACATTTTTCTTACAGCTTCCGAACAATTTCAATGATCAACTTTTGGTGCCTCTGAACATCAAGTACATTGAGGTGCGGCTGTCTGACTACATCCAGTTTGCGATGTACGAGAACTTCTTCCAAGACAACCAGGTTAACTACTTTGGTGTGTTTGGAGTGAGGCGGGACGACCAGGTGGAGATAACCAGCAATGCTTTTAGCCATAACAAAGGTGGCTATCCCAGCATAGAAATTAGAAATGTGTCGCGGTGTTTCTTCCGTGAGAAGTCCCTAACTGGTAAGTCTATAAAGATGAGATCTAAATGGATCACAAATAATATCACAAAATTTAAAACACTTTAGGTGCGGAGTACAAACTGCTGGTGGAGGATGTGGACAAGCTGACCGTTTTTTCCAATGCCCTGCAGATGACCAATCTGGATTGCTCCTTCAAACGGATCAGCCAGTTGACTCTGATGAAGAATGCTTTCAATCCTGGCGTGGCCAAGTATGGCATTAATGTGAGTCTAATATAATATTCTATATAGATGATACTAATCATTTGATTATATAGCTTCGAGTGGAGGATTCTAAAACCGATCAATTGGGCATCTTTGGTGTGTCCATGGGCAAGGTCAGTCTACTGCGCTGCACCATTGGAACGATCAAGAGCAATGCCTTTGGGGTGATCAGCATCAAGGAGCTGTACATCGATGACTGTACCATTGCGGTGATCGAGGCCCAGGCGCTGACCAATAAGCTTCATAGTGACATGGTGGCCATTCGGGATACGGTTATTGGTACGATTGAGGGTCAGGCGATTAGTCAGAGTGGCATAACAACCATGATTATGGTTCGAAATAAGTAAGTTGATTATATCTTTTGATTTTCTTTATAATTTCACAACTTTTCTTACCCCAATTCAGAATCCAAAGGATCCAGCCGTATGCCATCCGTTTGGTAGCTGTAAGCCTTTCCATTTGCAACAACTCCATAAGCCACGTGGAGAATAACTGGTTGAGTGTTAGCCAGGCTGATCATGTGGAGATCGAGAACAATCGCTTCCAGAACTATGGACGCGTTGAGCTCAATATCAATCCAACGAACTGCAGTTTCCGTAATAATATCCTACAGAATCCCCAGTCGGGAAGTTTGAATTTCACGTGTCGCATTCATCAAGTCTATGTGGGGCATGAATGCTCGTGCAACAAGTCCTGGCTAACGGAGCTAACCGATCATGATTTGGAATCGGATGTTATGTGCCAGGTTACAGAGCGTCATAGTGGCTGCATCAATGCCACCAGTACGGATGTACGGCGGTATTATAATGAGGCATGCACCGGAAATATAACACGTTACTGCATCTCTGGCCAATGGGTAACCAAATCGGCCAGTGATCAATTGAGTGATTCGGGAAAATACACCATCACGAGTATAGCCCTACTGATCGTTGTGGTCACCGTGCTGGTCATCGTGCTCGTTGGGTTTATCAAGTGCCTGCGCAACGGTGGCAGTGGACATGGCGATGTCAATGGTGATGTATGTCATTTAGAGGAGGATATCCGATTAGCATTACAGCTGAAGGCATCAGAACTACATGCCTCCGATCAAACGCGTAAGAATCTCGTTAAATTACTCAATAGTCAGCTAAGCAAAGAGGAATGCTACAATCGGATGTTATTTCTTATAGACAATATGCCTCAAAAGTCGTCACCGATTGAGAGTCTAATGTTTAAGCACATATTCCAGTGTCATGCCAATGCCAATGGGAATCCAACAATAGACGATGCATATGCCAGCACCACCACAACCACTGCCAGTGCAGCATGCAATCCCACTGCTCCGAGTTTGAATGCCAGTGAAGGTGGGTTCGATGATGAGCCTATCTACCAAGAGCCAGATCAGCAGCGTCCTTTGATCTGTGGGGATTACTCATCGCCGCTGCATCCCGTCGAGGATACCTACTCTGAGCCATTCAATGCTACGAGTAAGTATGGCAATGACTATAACTACAATTCCAACAGCAATAATCACAGCCATGTTGGCCACGAATCGAACCGGCCTCTACTTCCGCATCCCAACCGAATGTGTTAGATAGTCATAACTCTTTTTCCTTTGGCTGGGCTAATAACGAAACTCTGGACTGTATTTAACTTGTATATATATATTGTATATCATATATAACCCTTAATTTTATGATAATGTGTGTAGAGAGGCTGTGGGTACTTGGGCAGTCATATATAATGAACCGTATTCGTGTTGAGAATCTTTTCTTTCTTAGTTAGTACTAAAAACCTTTTAAAACGAAGCTAAAAAGGAGCCCAGACATTAATATAGATATTAACGAATACGGATCTTTATATATGGCTTCTCAATGTGAACAAATTTTGAAGTTTCCTGAGAGATGTCTTTTGGAATGGCACTTTTGTATTTATTAACTCTACCCAGAATTCATTTTAGATCAAAGTCAAGGATCTTTTAGAGAGATTTTTTTTATAGGTTTTCATGGTGTTCCTCATGAGATTTACATAAAATATCTTTCTTACTTTTAAGAACTTAACCAAATGTAAAGAAAGATTAAGAAATTAGGCACCTATACTAACCAATTGGGAGTATATATAAACATATATATAGACACATATATCATGTCAAAAGGGACCACTTGCAATGAAATACAGATGTTGTCTAATCATAAATATCTTTTTTTTATTTCAAAATTCAAAAATAAAAATAAAAACTTTAAATTTTAGTACCAAACTTTGTAAATTTAACAGAAAAACCTCTTCTTTACCTTTAAAAATTAAAATTAACTATAAAATTAAGCTTTTTTTTTTGGTATGTAACACATTTAAGTCAAAAAGTAATTGGAAAACAGACCTACAGGCCTCTACCGATAAAAAAAAACACACACACACACACAACTTGTTTACACTTTAACTGCGCACTTGCACGTAGTTTGAAAAACACAAAAAAATGTTGTACACCCAGAAGTAGGCAACAAAAAAAAAACACTCATGCTGGCAGGAAACGAGATACACACACACAAACGCAAAAAGGCAAATCACAATATGCGGAATGCATATATCCACAAAGGTACTAAAAACAAAATGTAGTTAAAAAATTTCCCTAAAATATGGTGATGGTTTACAAACTCTATCTGTCTAACATATAAGTTTCTGGTGGATGTATTTTATGTATTTAGCAAATAAAATCCCTATAAAACAGGTTAAAAATGTAGTGACGATGACACCTTTAGCAGTTTTGATTTCTGGTTTAAATTTGTAAAACGAAACTAAACTTTGCTCTATTGGTATTATGCTTTTAGTTTTTGTTAATCTACAACAATGTAACTTGTACCTCTCTCTGTGACTATAACTAAATCTGTAATATATATATCCCATATATATGTCCTTCTGCTTAACTAATGGGCTTACTAACTTTGTAAAATTACCCAACATTTAACACTTTTTAACCGAACTTATTATTATTTCCTCACAGATGCTAACGACATGCCGCCGGCATATCAATATGCCACGCCCATGCGTATCCTCACGCCACCACAACAACAACAACAGCAACAGCAGCCATCAACAATGGCCAGTTATGCAACGCCCGTTTGGCGATCTACACCAAGTGCCACGCCCACCAGTCGTCCACCCTCAGGGACACCGGGACCAATGGCCACAGCAACAGCTCCCCGGGCTGTCAAGGATCTGAGGCAGGCACTCCAGAATTCACCACAATTCCATCCCAATCAGCTGACCTCAGCGCGTAACCAAAGACAAATCCTACAGACTCTGCCAGCCCAACCGCCACCCTATAGTCACAGGCCGCAGGGTCATAAAGGTCACCACCAGCGAAGGCAAAGTTTCGAATGTCTCGATGGTGCCGCCAGCTTGGCGGCCATGGAGCATATGGACTCAGGTTCAGATCACTCCGGCGGCAGTGATGTGACTGTCCAAATTGCCGATGTGATCGACTATGCGGATGCCTAAGAGTATGCAGAGCCTATATAGTGTGTATATATAGTATTATATATATATATATACCGATATATCTGCCACAACTGTCACACCTGCCACCCACAAACAAGAACAACAAAGAGAGGGAGAGAGACGAAAACACCTGCCAGCAGCAGTGCCCAAAAGAAAAACAACAAAAAAAATAAAAAACGAAAACATTTTGTGATATTCATACAGTTTCTCTAGATTTGCGACGAACTAATTAGGTAGAGCTACATATATATAGTATGTAGCTAAAGCAAGAGAGAATCGATTAGATTAAGACAATTTAAATGTAAATGTAAATAAACTATAAAAACTAATTTATTATGGAGGTACTTAATGGGGGATAAGGGATATTGGCTTATAGCAAGAATTCTGACAGTCAAGGTTTGTAGAACCCAAGATCTGACTTGACTTGACTTGATATGGAAGTATTATAGTGGGTAAATAGGTCTTACTTTCAGAAGCAGAAGCTGAAAGCTGCTTCTCCATAGACTATTAAAAATACGAATTAAAATGCATATTTTCAAAAAATGTAGCATACTTTCTCGCATAACCAATAACCATTCCAGCAAAGCATAAACACTTTGGAAACTCTAGTAATAAACAAACAATCGTAATCTAGTAATAAAAACAAAACAATAGAACCCATTTCTCCGTTTCTTATCGATAAGTTGGCATATCAAATGTCCCATTTCTCGGTTACTTCAACAAAATGCTGTCACATGAGACATTCTCGTACATAAATATTAATCACTATTGGCTTGTACAGCTGTTTTGTTTTTCTCTTTTCTTTATGGCCTGCCATAAATACACAAAAAAAATGGAAAATAATATTGAAAAGCCGAGACAAAGCCAAAAGCTAAAATGCCAGGCGGGTGTGCTGAAATTGCATTTTGAAATGTTGTATAACTTGATTTGCAAGCGCGATCAGCAAAGCCGTTTTTGTTTTTTGCAAATTAAATATTGCGGCTGCTGCTGCAACGGGCTGCCATGCAAATGCGTTCTAAAAGCCTTTTCGAGTTATTAATGTGCATATATGGTCAGTAAGTCAGGCGGGCGCTCGGTCAGTTTGATCATTTTGATCAGTTGGCTCACATCTTTCGGCAAAGGCACTGAGAGAAAATCTAGCAATATTATAGGAAACTTAAGAAGGAAGGTTTAGTTAGAAAATGGTAAAAGGTTAAAACTATATTACTAGTGTTATTCCCAGTTCAATATAACCATAAGTCTTAACTAATATCTTTCAGTGCATGTAAAACGTAATCAGTTTCAAACTGACAAGCAGCACAAATCAGTTAAATGGTATAGGGATATTTATGACTTAAGTACGGCTCTCCATTTCCACAAGGTGAATGACGTGCTAGCAAACGCCTTTTAGATGTAATCACTCAAATAGCCATAAACATGAAATGCTCAATTTGAACGTCTATTATTACAGCGATAAGAATGAGTTCAACTTTTTAAAAGGTTTTTACAAATGGAAGCTATAGAAAATAATTGCCAATGAACTTGTTATTGATTTCTAGGAAGATTCATAATATATATTATATATTGGGTGGTCTGAACTTTTGCATCTGTAGAGGCCGCTATAAACTCAAAAGATCTGAAGAGCCTTCTTTACACCCGATTTTACATATTTACATAGCTTGGCTCTTAGAAAGCCCACCGCTAAGTGCTTTATGTTTACATTTTGCCTCGGAGTAAATTTGATTTGATTTGTGTTGATCAACTGTCCACCTCCTCCTCTTTGTTTTCCTTTTTGTCTTGTGCTTTCTTCTCACTTCTCTGCTCTGTTTTAACTTCTCCTTCTTGTTAGAGTTTTTTTTTGCGGGGGCTTTCCTTTTCAAAGCGGCGGCAAGTGTCAAGCGATGCGTGGCAACGTTCAATTAGACGCCGAGCAAGAAATTCAGATACAGATTTAAATTAAAATCCATGCTCAACTTCAATTTGACATGCACTTAGCGAAATCAAAGCAGAAGTGCGTAGAAAAATGGGGTTTTAGGTTTAAATTATCATGTTCACAAACTTTAAAAAATTTTAAGAAACAGCTTTCTCGTATTAAAATTTTATGAGTTTTTCCAAGTATTTTTAGCATTCAATTTTTAGTTACATTTTTTCCTCTCAAGCTTACCACCTAATAAGACCCTTTTTTCTTCCTGTGCTGCCAATAAACGCAAAAATTCTTCACCTTTTTAGTATTTTTTTTTTTTTTCGTTTTAGGTTTTAGTTTTTGAGCTTGAGAGAAGCTGCCGCTAAATCGCCGCAGCCAAACTGGCGCTCGTTCAACTCAAAAGCGCTCAAGAAGAGAGCAAAAGAGAGCGCCAGAGAGAAATCCACGTCGAACGAGAGGTTACAACAGTGATGTCAATGACAGAAATGACGGGAAAATAGCTAGAAAACAGAGGCTTTTTCCAAAAACAAATTTTGAAGATTTGAAGGCAGAATTTAAGTCAACTGATCAGCACTGAGATGTGGCCATTCACGCTAAGCGGTTGGCGGTTGGCGTTCAGCGGTTGGCGCTCAGTTTGTCATTTGCACGCGCTTACGCCGGTTGGCCGCCCAACAAAAACAAGGCTACAGAACCGCCTGACCGCTCGCGTGCTTTCAACTTCTACTGTTAATATAAATAAATGCGAATATTTACTTGGGCAATTTGCAAGGCTGAGGTTCGCTTAACTATATGTTTTTTTTTTACAGTGTTCCTCTGTATTGTCCATACATACAGTATGTGTCAAAATATGCAAATGTGTGTGTGTGTATGTGTTTCTGGAACCGCCATAAAGTTCAAAGTAATAAAAAAAACAAACTAATAGGGAGAGAAGGGAAATTTTTGTTTGTGTTTGCGTTGCAAAAATGCTGAGGAAAGCTAAAAAAAAAAAAAAAATTCAAACAAACAGAGAAGAAGAATTCTTCTCTCCGCTTAGCTCTCTTCTCATTAGTTCTTCTTGGTGATCATGATCACACACAGCCCACGCATCAAAACAAAACAAACAAAATAAAAAACAAAACAGCAAAAATCAAAGCCCCAAACAAGAATTTAAAATCTATCTTTTTTTCGTAGATATATTTTTTTTGCAATTCCCCGGGGGAATATAAATTAGCAGTGTATATTTGTGAACAAACGCCCCCTTGCTAAATAAAAAAAAATTGGCAGACACCTTGCCATATATCCATATCCATTATGTCCGATGCTCGTCATCATCGTATTTCGATATTTCAAGGTTAAATGACGACGGAGAAAAGCAAATGTTAAATAAAGATCTGCTTTTAGTTAGTTTTTGCCATAAAAACGTTTTCGGAACGGCAAAAAGTCCAACCCAAAAGTCATTCTTACAAAGAGTTATTCGAAATGTGTTACTAAGTACAGTAAGACTTCTGCAAAATGAACTGTGGGCTAGCTATTATTTAAGAAAAATATAAAAGATATAAACAATTTTTATGATTCCAACACTTTATAGCCTGCAATCTTAAAGATTTGGTTTTAAAATATCTTGTTTTTTCTCACAAATATTGTAAATTTTGATTGTCAATACTTTTTAACAATCATTTTTAACCAACTAGGTCAACTTAACTTAGAAGTTTTAAAGTTTTTCAAATGGAAAATAAAACTAAAAATCATTACGACTTCTACCCAAGAAATCTTCTCATAAACCACTTTTCCAAAACCAAATTTCCATGTTCACCTTAAGCAAATGCCACTAAAAACAGGGCCAAAGTCAATGTTATGAAAGGTTGATCGAATTTTGTGCCAAGTGTATGGAAAAACAAGCGGTGGGCACTAGAAAACCAAAAACCAAAAACCAAAAACAACTGCACGAATTTCAAGTAGTAGAAAGCAAAGAGCAGCAGCTCAACAGGCTAAAAACATTAACCCCGTCAAGTGCCCTCAGCATTCTATTACTGCCTTTTTTTATCTCTTTGCTTTTTAAATTGGTTGGACCTTTGGCTAAATGAGCTTTTGCGGTAGAATCGCTTTTAACAATATAACGAACTTTTTGAAGAAAGTCGTTGACAATTTTGCAACAGCAAAACTTTTGCTAAATTACTAGAAAGCTTGTAGGTCATTTTTAAATTACTATCTTTACAGAAAAAATAACCATTTAGAGTTATAAATGCGGTTTTTTATGTTTAAAAGTTAATTTAGAGGTTTTTGGTAGATATTAGCAGGCCAAAGTAAGGTATAAACTTTTTGTTTTAAAAGTTAATAAGATCATATTCATGTTTTCCCTTCAAATTTTCACTCTGATTTCATGATTTTGAACTGCTTCTCACTCAAAAACTACTCCCAGTTAGTCATGAAAGTTCCCTTTCATTTACTTTTTCCTTATAATTTGGATGGAGTAATACGATTGTAAACCCTTTGCAACCTTATACCCATGTGTCATCCTGTGAAAATTGAGTCAAATTGTGTGGTAACCAACGTTTGACTCATTTGAAATCTTATCAGAAATCGTTGGCGATAAGATAGTGATTTGAAACCAATTCCGAATCGGGGCAAACTAAGAAGTGCAATGCCCAATACTCACTACTGGCATATGCAACAGTCCACTGAGGCACTGCAATGCCGCATTTTTGATTTAATCCAAGTCAATGGTTGCAAGACCATGAAATGTGCTAATTGTTATTATTTGCACTTTTAATGGTGGCCGAAACTGCAATGCAGTTTAGCAATAATAACTAAATACATAAATTAAGGTTGCAAACCAAGCTTGCTTAACAAATGCATGAAATTGTAAGAGATTTTTGAAGACTAACGAAGCTAAGTTTACTCTTTCTCATGTCCTTATTAAGTTAGAATTTCAAATCAAACTTCAACTTTCAAATTTAAACTGCATTTATGCACATCTTTAAATGATAATTACCTCCTAATTGGAGTGATTTAGAGGCGTAGACCACAAGGGGTTAAGGGGTACTTGTCATTCTCCATACTCAATTGTGCGTGAGTGCAAGTTTTTCTTTTTTTTTTTAGCTTGACAGGAAATGCAATTGCGGTTTAATTCAATTTCCTAAACGCAAGTCCACTCAATGAACGTCACTTGATTTAATAGGAATCACGCCAAAGGGTTGACCAACGCGTCTGCCAAACATCCGGAATTCTAAGGCCCGGTACAGGGTAGCTTTACCAGATGCAAGGGGCTTAGTTTAATAACTTTATGAATGCATTTTTAGATAAGATAAACTACTAAACGAACTTAAATATAATAAAGATTGCAGTTCTGGACTTGTCACTTTAAGTTTGTAATATAGCTATATTCCGCAGTCTCTGGAATGCCTATTCGAATTCCTCGACTCGTGTGCAAATATTTGAACAGTCCGCCACTTGAGATGGAGATCCGACTCTGGCGCTGACTAAATTTCCTCTCGCGCAAATTGAGTTCTATAAACAACTGGAAATGGCCATAAACAAATAACAAAAGCATAATTGCTTATGTTCGGGCTACCAACAGACCAACAGACGAAGTCTCCATTTCCAGGGCCAGAGAGATTTCCACTGTTTGCTATACAGCGCTATATAGCAAACACGACCTCAGAATTCAATTAACGAAGGCGGCTGAGGCAGGCGGTGATTGGATTGGAGGGCAGGAGGTAGTCCGGCGAAGTGCTCACAATTGGAGATGGTGTTGTGATTCAATTAGACCCCCCTTCCCCCGCCCAACTTGAAACCAGAGTGTGTGTGTTTGCGATCGTTTGGGCAATATTGTTAGCTGATTATGATCGACACTCTTAACTGCCCAAAAAGACTAGTTGGTCGAAATTTTGACTCCAAGATCGGTAATCGATCATTCAGTTTTTGGGACAGATTACAGTTTTTCCTTATATTTTTTCGAAATGCTCTTCTGCTCTTAATTACTTAACTATTGTTATAATTATTTAAGTAATTTAAAACTTACTTTTGCTATCACTCTTGTGAAAAACCATTTTACAGATCCTTAACGAATGTTTAACATTACAAGGTTTTAACTTTTAACAACTGATCTTGTGCAAGTTTTTACGCAAACTAACAGTGCAATGAAAAATGATAATAAAACTGTATTTACCCCTCCTTATCTTTTCTAACTCTTAAACTCTCTTAATGGCAGAGTTTTTTTTCATACATATGTACATCAAGAGGGTATTCCTTAAACAAGGAAGAAAAGTAAGGAAAAATTAACAACTGATTATAGTCAATGGAAGGTTTTACGTTCCTCAAATCATAATTTTCATACCAAAAACTAGCTAAAAAAGTAATTAAATATTTGTTTTAATATCTTAATAAAATATTTTGTAACTTTTGGTCCCAACATTTGACATTTACCAAATTCATTTGCATGGACTGGAATTTGGTTATGACAGATGCATCAATTTTGAAAGTACTGTAGCTAAGCACTTGAATTATGAGAGTAATTAATCATAATTATAATGAAACTTTTAAAACTACGATGCGTAAAAGTAGAGTTTACATTACATCAGCAGTTAGCATAAAAACCAATTTATATTTTTTCGAATATACCCCTTAAAATACCCCTTAAAAGCTATAGTAGAAAGTAAAGGCAAGAGGTAAGGAGAGTAGAGTAGTATTACCGATACTAAAGCTTGATTACAGTGTGGCTGCCCAAAAACATACATACACACGCACACACACTAGAGAACTTCAATACACAAATACAACTATAACTCATATGTATGTGCACCTATACTATAGATAAGAAACACCTTCAGAGATAAGGCTGGAGCGAATCGGTCTTTATCAGCATTTCCACTGAACGCTTACGCCGGAGAGCAGTGCAAAACGGAGCGGATGGTAAACACGACTAGAAAATGAACAAAGAGTGGACCGGAGAATAAGAAGGCGAAATAGCAAGACAGAGAGAGAAAGAGAGAAAAAGAGGGAACGAAAAGCACAAGTTAATATGAGTGAATAATTAGCCATAGGCGGTTCAGTCGACACAACATGCGGAATATTAGAAATCTCAAGGATCCCACGACCTGGACGTGGCTCCACCTCTTGCACCTTCTAAGCCTTCTCCTCTACGCTCAGGCAGATGTGGCGAAGGAGTTTTGTGGGGAATATGGCACTACCATCACCTGCGATTGCAATAACTCCGATCAGGTGAGTCAGCTTCATGGAAAACTTATGTTTGCATATCGTTTTTCTAACTGGAAAAGTATAATTAGAACATGATACTGCTGTCATGGAAAGATGACTAACTCACTCAAACTTTACTCAACTTGATTTAGGGAGATATATGTATGTACATAGCTTTAGGTTTAGGTTTACCTAAATGGTTTTCCTTTCTTTGAGTTCAATTTACGAAATATATTACTTTATGGGTAAATACTAAAGCCTTGTATCATATTTCCTTGTGAGTAATCATTGTATCACCTTTATCAGCAGATATTGCTTTAGATTAGTAATCAAAAGGCACAGCAATGTGTTCTTTATGGAGCAGATGTTTTACTTTGTAACTAGATCCTTAGTTAAATGCATTCCCCAAACCAATCCCAAGACATTTCCTCACATTCACTAACTTTATAAAATATTCTCCTAATTTCCAGCCCATGGCCTTGCCACTTCTTAAGGGCTCTGTCTACATGGTTGAGATTCGCAATTGTCGGGATCTTGTGGTGGATGCCAATCGTCTGGCGGATACAATGGATCTACGAAAGGTTACCTTTCGTAATGTGGGACAGCTAGTGCTCCGCGAGCATGCACTTAGTGTGCCCCGCTATGCCAGCAACAAAGCTCTGATCGTTGAATTCGAACAGACCAACCTCAAGCTAATCGAATCGCATGCCATCAATGGCAACATCGAGGAGATCTCATTCGTGGGCGGAAGGATAGACCTGATGAAGCCCTTCGGCTTCACCACCACCAAGGATAGTGCCATATTGCTCAAGTTAGATGGAGTAACCATACAGCGGATCGAAAGTCAGGTAGGATACAGAATTAATCTTTAGCATTTAAAGATTACTAATTCCGTGATTTTATGGTCAGGCCTTCAAAAAGTTCGCCGTGGAGCAGATGATCATCGCTAACTGCCAGTTCCTGGGCGATCTGCCCACCCGAGCTTTCTACGAACTTGAGGTAACCAACGAGTTGAGTTTGCGGGGCAATCAGTTTCAGGAGATCCACTCCCATGCCTTCTCCTTTAAGCGTAAGTTAACCTTCTTCTACAATGTATTTTTTACTTCATCTTAAGATCTCCCAACCATAATCTCTTCCAGTTGTCTCAAAGTTAAGCCTAAGTGATAATCACTTCGTATCCGTGGATGGCGAGTGGTTGGAAGCCCAAATCCGGGATGCAGTGACTATAAGAGGAAACGATTTTGGAGCCACCAGTGAGATTGCCTTCCGCAGTCTCACCGTTCATCGTTCTTATCAGCTTAGTGAGCACCTGGAACTGCGTTTCCACAACAACAGCCTGCGAAGCTTGCGTCCAGGAGCAGATCCCAGTGTAGATCTGGCAAATGGAGCGGAAGCAGCACCGCAGCCCCTGCGTTTCGACGACAGATTCTCACTTAGCATCCGGGATCTTCGCTATGATAACTCCTGGAACTGTGAGCAGCTGGACAGGAATGTTGAGCCACCATTGCCGCGTGCTGACTTTTTTCCGAATTCACAGCGATCAGCTGATGTTCTATCCACCAGATTCCAATGGAGAACGCCAGAGTCATCACTATATGCCACTGCGAATGCTGATCACGGATCAGTGTCGTGAGCAGAGCTATATGGCTTATATAATCTCGGGTAGTGTAATATTGGGATTACTACTCCTTCTGTTGATCCTTTTGCTCTGGTGGCGAGTGGTGCAAAAGCGACGACGCCGCAAACTGGACGTAGTGCAGCCGGAACCGCGCACTTACAAGGAAACCCAGATCGTATACCAAATCGAGAATGCTGGCCTGCTAAAGACTGATTTGTAGACAGACGCCAAGGAAAGACACTAAGAGGAATGTTTAGGCAACCTTTGACCTCGAACAGAACCTCTGAAATCATAGAGACATATAGCTGAATGAAGCTAAAAAGGAGCGGGTGGTGTGGTTGGAATACTATAGCACCACCCATCATACGGAACCACCAATGCGTGACCTTTCGCTGTACCAAAACCATAGCCTACAGTTAGTCCTTAGATATCTTATTTTAATTATCGTAAATCGTAAATCGTAAATCGTAACTCGTATATCGTATATCGTAATATTTGTCAGTTTTAAGTGGCCCATGTAAATAGTCGCATGTAGTCCTGGGATCTTGCCCAGAAATATCCAGATGGGTTAGCCATATCCCATCAAATACGTACATATATAGATATATGGAATAAATCAAGTTAAAGCCAAAAAGGGACTGCTATTTTTGTATCGATTTCTTGCTGAAAAACAAAATTAGATTCTGCAAGTTTTAATTTTTGTGAATGGAAAACATTTTTTTGCTGAAATCAAAGGGCAAATTTAGCTAATAAAAACTTGTTTACAAAGAGCAGATGACGGTTGAGATGTTTACAAAATAAGTTTTGATAGTTTTCCAAAATATTTTTAGAAATTTTGAATGCCTGGCACATGTTTACAAGATAATCTTTCCTATTTCTTAGATGATTTAATCAACAGGCTTTTGAATATATTTATACTTTCTTACTTATTTGTTAAATAATACAGAAAATTAAACTTACCCGATGGGCAGATATGATTCCAAGGCCTGATGCACTGTCAACTGGGGTTCAGATAGAGCAAATCCTTTAGAGAGCAGTGTATGATGGGCATTGATGGTCTCCTCCACGCCGCTCATATCCTCCACATCCTTGTCATCTGTTGTTTTATTAACAAAATGTTTATAAAAGTTCAAAAGATAATCTAAAGTTAATCACCTGGTAAATTAAGCTCCTTCTTCATCAGATTGGCACTGCACATGCCACCCAAATAGGCCAACTCCTGTTCCAGTCTTATTAGACACGAATTGCTGGCATTAATCTGAGCGAGATAGATAGACATGGTTAAGAAAGAGATAGAGATATAATCTAACAAAGACTCACCGATGTGGGATTGTCATAGCCAACCACTAGGCACTTAAAGCCACAGCGATTGTTGTGCGGATCCTGAGCATACAGTGAGGCTGTTTCCAAAGAGAACTCCACGCAGTTGCCGGGCAGGATGAGGACATTGTGAAGCCAAGTGGAGGCCCTAAAAGATAAGAGATTAAGTTTAGCTTGGATTCCATCTTCCTTCGATATATTTCTACTTACGTATTGAACTTCTTCACCACAATCCACTCCCTGTCATTGGGATCCTGACTGCGTAGAGGAGTCAAACTTGGGGCCGTAGCACATCCCGGAGCATTGCCACCCCCTGGACTGCGACAACAACTGGCCATGGTCAATTGGACACTAGCAGAGCGTTGGTGTGTATTTGGTGCTGCTCCACTGCCAGCGATTCCGCCGCCAGTTGTGCGTCTTCTATCAGCCGCACCCTGTACATTGTCCGCCTGCTCCAGATAATCATCCACATGCGGCACTGGCGGAGCCTGTGATGCTGGACGCATGGGAATCGACAAAAGCAGGTAATCCTCCAGCTGAGCTGTGCCACACTGCGGATCAAACTCGATGGTCAGCCACTGAACGCAGGGTGGGAATTCCACGCGATAGCTACTGATGCTGGCACTCCTGTACGGATGTTCACTCTCCACCAAACAATAGTGGTTACTGGTGGTGCTACTCGAACTGGAGCCAGAATTGGAGGTCTGTGTAGCAAAGAGTGCCGGTTCCGGCTGACGTTGATCCTTGGACACGTGCAACTGATTCAGGGCAGCGATATGTGGCAGGATCTCCTTGATAAGACCCAAAATCTGGACGGAGCTCTTCGGATCACTGCACGCCAGATTGGCAATGTGTGCATAGACCAGTGGGAGTAATGTATGGAACATATTGGAGGCGGCCAGATTGAAGACCTCCAGGAGTTGCACGGCAGCCACTTGGCTGCTAACACCTCCTCCTCCAGCCGATCCACCTGCCACACTTACTCCGCCACCAGCCATGCCGGCCACCTCCAGCGGAGCCTCCTCCGAATCGGAGTGCAGATGCTGTAGCATCGACTGCTGAGCTGGTTGTTCGGCGATCTCGAAATCCGTGGTTCTCTCATTGCCATTAATCGGAACACTTTGACTCTGACTTTGGCTTTGGCTCTGGCTTTGGCCATTCCTTAAATCCGCCGATTCCTCCACTTCGGTGGCGCCAATCTCGATTTCCATCTCGAAGGGATTGGTAGATCGCTTGTCAAACTTTAGGGTCTCCATTAGACCCTTCGAAAAGGACTCGATGCGTTTGCCCAAATCCCTGGCCGTGGACAGCTGAGGATCGATAGCCGTGGGTAGGGCAGCTGTCCTTGAATTATTTGCCCAATTGATGTCCATGTGCTCCTCGATGGGCGTGATATTGTGCTCGGAATCGATGGTCTGTGTGTGATTTGAACTATTATCGGAGGGCGAACAAGATGCAGCCATGGCATTTCTGGCCAGGATCAGTAGTTCAGTACATTTCTTGGTAATATCAGCGGCGATTTGCAGAGCTGTATCTCGTGTGGAGACCTCATGCGGTCCAAGCAGCATCATCCTCTCCTCCATATGAGTTGCGACATTGGGTCCATCACCAGCTCGTCCGCTAGCCGAGTTTCCATCCTGTTTCATGGGTGTGCTATAGTACAGAATGCAGGGTAATTGACCCCCTGGCTGGAGTGGTTCCATTGAAGCTCAGATCACAGGCATAGAAATGAAACTGGGCGCCACATGGTCCTCGAACTGCTGGCATTCCGGCATCCCCAGAACAAGTGCGCGCCCCCTGCGAGCACAGCCTTAAAGCGTAGCGAGCATTCTCCTTGATATGCACTGGATGATCGAACTTAATCTCCGCCAGATCGTTATGAACGGCATCCTGATCGTAGCTTCCCGATACCGATTCCAGGGTCTCCCACTTGTGCTGCGGCTGCAAATCTGCCGTATTATCATACAGCAACTCCAACTGATAGTCATAGCTTCCGGATCCCGAGTAAACCATGGCGCCAGCTATGGCCACACCAGGTCGATCCACGGCAAAGGCAATAGCATCGGGTCCAAAGTTTCCCGTATTCCAGGTGCGACTCACATCGCAGCGGGCAAAGCGAGCTCCCGTTGAATGTAGCGTTCTTGGAGGCATGAACAGCTTGTCATATTCACCCATCGCCGTTTGATAGACAATCTCAGCCAGAACTCTGGCCAGCAGATGACAACAGTTGTCTATTAATCCCTGATTAACACACTCCTTGCCACCTGGATAACTGCCTCCAAGACTTCCAAGACTCCGACTGTAAATCGTTTCGATGCGGGAACGTATGGGACTAGCGATTATGTCCAACAGACGTACAAGAACATCCTTAAATGTCCAGGAATTACTTAGAAAATCGCTCTTCTCCTGCTGCGTGCGGTAGATCATTTGCTCCACTAGCACTGGATACGGATGTGTATCTGTGGAGGAGAGCATGGGCAAGCCAGAATTATCGCTGGGACTGATAATCGACTGACGTTCGTTTCCAGCTGCATTGAGAAGCGAGAATGTTGCCCTGAGCTTCACCGATGGAGAACAGAGTCCTGCGAGAATGGCACTTAACAGGCGGGAATGCAATGCTCCACGATCCATCTGGGCGAGCAAATCGCACAGGCAGTTCCACTTCAGCGAGGATGTCGGATAGAATGCATCGAAACAGGCCTCAAAGCTCAGGATGACACTCGTCCAAGATCTCCAGTGAGAGTTCATAGCCTGCAAAAGTAAAATGGATCATTAGAATGTTTTTAGATATCTTCCAGGCTAGAAGCGCACCCTCGTCCGTGGCTATATCCTTGAAGATGTCATCACAAAAGATGCCAATCAGCAGGGCCCTAACATTGCCAATACACTCCGCCAGCTGTATGTTCTCCATATTCGTCTTCCGAGTCATAGGAGTTCCGCTGCCCGGTGCCGCCGCTGCCGAAGCTGATGTGGATGGTGCTCCTCCGCTTCCGCCACTGCTAATCATGGCTGGAGCCACCGAAGGTGATGGGTCACCAAAGTACTTGGCCATTACGGCACCATTGCCCACAACACGAGGAGCATTTTTATCTGTGGAGTAAAGGTAATAGAAGAAATTAGTAAAGGAATAGGTTGTAATTCATGAAATCATCACCTTTGTTTGCCTTAGACTGGATCATCTTGGCAGTGGTCACTACGCCACTACCATGAGCTGCAATAGAGCTACCACCAGTTCCCACTGACGTGGAGGAGTTCCTCTGCGGATAAATCTCATTGGTGTACTTGCGAAGCAGGGCGCAGACATGACTTGATGACATAGCCGAGGTACTGAAGCGACTGCTGCAGCTGCAATGGTAGGAACGGTCCCGCTCCCTCGCGCAGCTGCAACTTGAAGCAATCCCGAGGACCAACTAAGCAAGACCACTAAACTCTCGAAGCACTCCCGACTCACGCTGTTGGCGAAGGCCCGGGAAATACGCTGCCAGGATCGGCGTCCATTTGGGCCGGTGTCTGCTTGCAATCCTGAGTAACCAGACGATACAGAATGGCCGGTATCTGACCAGAATTGACATCGGTACCATTGTTGGCTTTCTTGCTGGACTTAAAGGAGAAGACCACCTGATCTTCGGTGGTCACTGAAGCCTGGCCACACGATCCGCAATCGGAGGAGGGACCTGCAATCGAGCCCACACCAGGTACCACCTTCCAGCCACTGCACTAACCGGTTTGGGCAGAAGGATATGATGTTTACTCCCGGCGCCACACTCGTACGGCACCTCCTTGGTCTCACTGATTAGAATGCCTTCCTTCTCATAGCCTCCCCACCATCGCCGCCCAAATCGAAGAGCTTCCAGCTTGCAACTGTACTCCCCGCGTCCACCGGAACATCCCGAAGCCACAGATCACAATATCGGTGTCCGATGAGAAGCGTATGGCTTCACGCTATCCCGAGTAAACCCTATCCGCCGCCAGATTATCAAAACGGCTGACCACTTGGAATTCACCAGCCTGCGTCTCTGCTGTCTGTTGAGTTTGCTTCAACAGCGGTTGCTCAAAGCATCCAGGGATGTTGTCTGTGCCGACGTGAAGATGTCCAAAGCAGGCGAATTAAATTCAGGGAGGCTTACGAGCGGGCCACGGGAGATCCACCCGGTCCAGGCAAAGATAATTCCAGTGATAGCAAGGATCGATATGTTGCCGAGTTCTGAAGAGATCAAAGTTATAGAGGCAACTAGCACTCACAAATAAATCTAACTCACCGCATCGCTCTCGTTGATGATCACGACCTTACACACATGTGACAGCGTAACTTTCGGCTGCTCCATCGAAAACCCACAAAACATTATAGGTGGGATCCATGGTAAATACCAGTTGTGGTGGCGATGGAGATGAGATCAGGGGGAATACTAACTCCCCTGCTTGCCAACGACGTGATGCTTGGCACAGATCCTGCTACCGCTGATCCAGTGTACCGGGAGCTGCTTACTGCTGGTGGTGGTGCTTTACACCGTTGCTGGACGATCCTACCTCCGGTAGCTGTTCTTCCAGATCTGATTCCACGAAGCGCCATTGCATACTTCCCGAGACATCTGCTCGTTGATGGGCACACCAGCCGTGGCTGTAGCCGTCATGGCCGTTAGAATGGCTGAGGTGGGCATGAGCGGCGAATCGCAACTGGGTAACAACCATCTGGAAATGGAGTTGATCTCTGGCTGCTGTTGTTCCGGATGGGCACTGCATCAGTTTCACAAAGTTGGTTTGTCCTCGATAATGAGCCGTACAACTTCCATCCCGGCGATTTATGGAAAGCGTATGAAAGGATAATTGAATGCTAGGGATGAGCACTGTTCCAATAGAAGGATAAAAGGAAGATTAGCATTGAATTTTAGGTGCACTTTGGAGTTGCACATATCGTCTTCTTGTTGGCCACCACATGCATCTTGGGCAGCATCTGTGCCAAAGTGATCAAGGGATTCGTCTATCTTGATAAAGTCTGATCGCCATTGGCTCCTATCCAGGTCACCTTCTTGCCATAACCGTGGGGACCCAGACACTGAATAGTTAAAGAAAGTCCAAAGGTTAGCCAGTAGTGACCACTATATAAATATCCATTAAAGTATTTCCTTACCAAGACAGCTCCAGGCGAACAGTTCCAAGAGAAACTTCTGACTGCGTAAAGCACAAAGCATCAGCGGAAGCATCTCGCCGGAACCACTGGGTTGGAACGGTAGCTGGTGATGAGATCGTTCTGGTCAGGCATTCCAACTGGCGCAACTGTTGGTGAACCACCAATCCCCAATCGATCCTGGTCCCACTGGAGAATCATCATCCTGGGGACGGAGGCTAAAGGTCCATAATCACTGACAATACGTCCCAATTGGTCCTTTTGGTAGTTGCCGAATGTATCAACCATTCGCGGATGTCAACAGGTACAGTGTGATTGCTGGCAACCCACTTGACGAATGGCTCCAGAAACCTGGACACTGGTCCGCGCCTTACCGGCTGCAATTCTCCACTGCCCAACTGACCATAATGATTGCTTTGAAACGTATAGAACTTCACCAGCCAAAGTTAGCACCACCGTGTGAATTTGCAATCCACGAAACCACCTGAACCACAGACGATGAGCTGGTGAGCTGCAACAGCTGTGGTGCTAATGGGGCCACTCGAGGTGGATCCTTATCCAAGTCAGTTGGCGTGGCAGCACCTCCGCCAGCTGCTCCTGTTTCGGATTCACCCTTACGCTCCTTGCGGCGCGCGAGTAAAGCGTTTTGGAGCGCTGCTGGCGCTGTTGCCTGTCACTTGGTGGAGGCTTCAGTTCTGTTTGGCTTCTGCAAGGTGGAGATAAAGAGATAAATATATAAATGGAACCTTTTTTAGCCTAACCAGATTGACTTACCGTCGCTATCTTGGAGGGCGAATGCAGGCAGCGCACAGTCCACCCGCAAACTGTCACATCTCCATGGCCACAGGGACATATACGCCCGCCAAACTGCTGATCCAGTGGGAAGCGATGTACGGAGAGCACAACTAACATTATATCCAGTGCATTCCGACAAATGACGCACACGTACGGCACTGACCTACACCAGTTATGATCGTCGTAGTCGCCCTGGCGTGGAAAGTCAACTTTAAGCGCTTGTCCAGTGGCAGCAAAAGATGCAAAACAGGCGGCGGCCCCCGCGTTGAGGATGAGGCAAACGGTGGCGGCATCAGCTACACCGGCTGCAACGGTGAATATCCCTACCGCACTGGCCCTTATTATTCGGCCAGAACGAGAAGAGTTGTCCTTGGCGTTGAGGCCACGCAATGAGCTTTTGCCCATAGCGCCGCCTGGTCACGGCTGCTGATCCAACAGCTCGCAGGCAAAAGCCCATGGCATCGCAATGAGCCGTATCCTCGAAATGCATTATAAGTTTCCGGTTTTGTGACAAAGGCGGAGGTGCCATTATTACAGGCAGCATACCTGCTCCTGGCCATCGATCTTGGTCATCTTCTTCCGGCTTTACCGCCTTCGGTTGTCTCCGGTTTTTGCTGCTATCTCCATCTACCGCGACGAGCTGTACCAGCAAAGGGAACAGTTCCATCATCGTTGACCAAGAGAGCATGAATGCCATCGTGTCCACGGCTTCCATGGACTATATTGGCGCGGAGATGAAGCAATACGTAA